GAGACAGCAGCAAGTGGAAATTCCTGGGGTGAACCTGAGGGAAGATCACGGGCTGAGCCCACGTCCGCATGGAACAGAACACCTCGTGAGGTCACAGCAGAAGGGCTTTTCACATACCTCAGTCCAGCACCCTCTTTCTGGTTACCATGGTAACAGCTTCTGGGGAAGTGAGTAGCCACTGTGCGTCTCAGCACTGTCACACATGGAATGTGCTTTTATGGGGTCGGCAACACACCTCTGCAGGCAGGGTGTTGTCCCGCGCACAATCAATAAAGAACCTGAGGCACAAAAAGACATTCACCATACAGCTTCAGAGTGGTCAGTGACATCCAGAGCAGAGCTGGCTGTCCAGATTCTGGCCTCTTGAGCACCTCCTGCTGCCTCCTGAGTAGGAGGTGGGAGACAGGGAGCTAGATGCCAGCTGCCAGCCAGGTTTGACTGGAGGATGAGGAAGCTGATAAGGTACAGTGGCCATGGAATGAGTAGGGGGAGATTCCAGGACTGCCCAAGAAAGACAAGGAAAGGGCTGGAGACATGACTCAGTGGTTAAGAGCACCACCTGCTCTTCCAGAGGTCCTGAGTTCAATTCCCAGGACCGTAATGAGATCTGGTGCCCTCTTCTGGCCTGCAGGAAGAGTATTGAGAATACTGTATACATAATAAATAAACAAATCTTAATATATATAAAAGAAAGACAAGGATATCCAAAGACTTCTGATATCCAAAACTGGCCTTGAGGCCCCAAGCCTGTGAAACTGTTCTGGGGGAGCTAACTACCGTGCTCCCCAGAAGACAAGCTCTCACAGTGACAGGGCCAGGGCTCGACCTTGTTCATTGACACCTGTCCATACAGCTCGTGTGGATTTCTCCAGGCCCATGGACTGTGGTAATGACACTTGGTGACTTACCTGTAAATCACCTGTAAATTCTGGTTCTTAATTGGTTTAATTCATTTTATATGTGTGTGGGGGGTTGCCCGCACATTTTGCCAGAAGAGGGTTCTGATCCCCTGGAACTGGAGTTATCGCTGGTTGAGAACCAATGTGTGGGTTCCCTGGTCCTCTGGAAGAGTGTCCATTGCTCTTAACTGCTGAGCCACCTCTCCAGGCCATACCTGTGAATTTTTTTTTCTTTCTTGTTTGGTCAGGGGTTGGTTTTTTGAGACAAGGTTCCTCTGTGCATCCCTGGCCATCTGAAAACTTGCTTGAACTCAGAGATTTCCACACGGCAGCTCACAACTGTCTGTGATTCCAGTTCCGCGAGATCCAACACCCTCACACAGACATATATGAAGGCAAACACCAATACATATAAAATAAATTTTAAAAAAAGTAAAAAAATAAAAATAAAAGCTCACCCTGAGAAAGGCTTGGTGTTACGCTGGGCTCCCGAACACCTAGTGTAGCTGGCCAGCTAATAAAGACTCTCTGCTGGCTTAAACCCGTGCCGTCTTTGGGGGATCCCCCACAATACATATTTAGGAAGAATCCTCTGAACCTTGGTTCTGACTGGTTCTTGACTGGTTACTGCAGATCACTTTGTCCAATACCTCACCGTCCCTCACACGGAGGTGGCTGTACCGCTTTTCAAACTCCAATTCGTCCTTCTGAGGCCCAGAAACTCTTGGCAAAGGGGCACCGTCCATGTCCACACTGCACTGCAAAGCTACTCCACTGAGGGCTGGCTGCATTTCTGGCCACTCAAAGGGGCTAGTCCTGGTCCCTGCTCCTCAGGGAGCCTTCCTTTGTCTAACAAACCACTCTTCCCAGTAGAGGCTTCACAGGGCCTGAACTTTTATCTCTTTCCCTATTTCTCTGGGGAAATCCCCCTCCCTGCTGTCACCCCACCCCCCACCCCGCACAGTCAATTTAACAAGCTGAAGTTGTCAAAAATCAAAAAGCAGATACATGAGCTGCTGTCTTTTGCTTTGGCTCTGCTGAACAAAGGCCACACAAAAGAAAGCAGTAGACAGGGCTTCCTAGAATACCGCAGAGGAAATGGTGGGAACAAAAGGCAAATTAAAATTTTCAGAAAATTAATATTTCAGGCAGTAGTGGTCCACACCTTTAATCCCAGAACACGGAAGGCAGAGGCAGGTGGATCTGTGAGTTCAAGGCCAGCCTGGTCTACAGATATGAGACAGTTAGGGATACACAGAGAAACCCTGCCTTGAAAAACTAAAAAGAAAAAAAAATGAAAACCTGCAGCCGAGGAAAAGGCTAAGTAGGTAGGATCCACATTGGGCTCCCAGAACTGTACCCATATAGAGTGGTTCACAGCTACATTCCAGTTTCAGGGACTCAGCGCCCTCTTCTGGTCTATACATGCACTGCACTCATGTGCACATACCTCCCCACACATGCACAAACATAATTAAAAGTAAATATTTATGCTGGATGGTGATGGTACATGCCTTTAATCCCAGTACTTGGGGGGGCAGAGGCAGGTAGATCTCAGTGAGTTCGGGGCCAGTCCGGTCTACCAAGAGAGCCATCTAGGACAGCCATCCTGTCTAGGACAGCCAGGACTGTTACACAGAGAACCCCTGTCTCGAAAAACAAAAACAAATTATAAAAATTAAAATGAATGGCTTCTATGTGAATCTAGACAGTTGGACAGATGCAAGAAAATCGGTAGCAGTCTCCTTCAGTAGTGTGGGGAAGAGGGGAGGATGCTGGAAACCAAGCTTAGGGAAGAAGACATGAAAAATAATGATGAGTTCAAACACACTGGGATGGCAGGGGCATAGGAATTTGCTGATGATCTTGATGAGGGTGTAAGACATAGAATGGTCAAGGCTAGCTCACTGGGGTCAGATGACCAACCACAGGGAAAGCAGGTTCGTTGTCTACAGTTTGGGAGGCTCAGAGAGGAGAGCAGCATACTTATGGATTTTGTTTTGTTAATATTAAGTCTCTAATTAGACAATCTAAGAGTTAAGTAAGCAAATGGATATATGGAGATCAGGGATAAAGATCTATTGGGTAAAGAGCTAATTACACATAGTACTTAAACACACAAGATAACATCACATAGCAAAAGCCTGTAATAGGGAAGCTGTCTCAAGACAAAACCTGGGGTCATTCCAACATTTAGAGCCTGAGGAAAAGAAATGGAGGAGGAAGACTGCAGAGATGGCTCAGTGGTTAAGAGCAATGGCAGCTCTTCCAGAGGTTCTGAGTTCAATTCCCAGCACCTACACAATGACTCACTGCTTCTATAATCTGATGCCCTCTTCTGGCATGCAGGTGTACCTGCAGAAAGAGCGCCAGATGTACATAAAAGAAATAAATATTAAAAGAAGAAATGGAGGAGGAATAGGAGGAGAAAAGGGGAGAAGGGGAAGAAGAGGAGGAAGTAAAAATACACACAGGGGCTAAGAAAGAGCGGCAGTTGAGACAGAAGGCGAACTAGGGGAGAGTTATTACTTAGAAGTCAATACGAGGCAGGGTCTCAAGAACGAAGGATGCAAATGTGACTGGCGAGATGGTGCGCAGGTAAGAGCACTGGCTGCTCCTGCAGAAGACTCAGGTTTGGTTCCCAGAATTCACGTAACAGCTCACAACCCTCTGACTCCAGATTCGCTGGACCCAGTGCCCTCGATGACCTCGGCAAACACTGCACGCATGTGGTGCGCCTACAGACATGCAGGATAAATACTCACACACATAACCAAGATTGTTAGGGTGAAAATGACAGCAGCAAATGTTAGTGGTGTCTTGGAGAAATTAGAAGGCTCATGCATTGTTTGGTGGGCACGTAAGTGATACAGCCTTTTTGTAAGACATTTTGATATTTTTTTCAAATCTAGAAGTACCCTAAGATCCGGAGCCATCGGGGGAGATGGCTCAGAAGTGAAGGACACTGGCTGCTCTTCCAGAGGACCTGAGTTCAATTTCCAGCAACCACATGGTGGCTCACAACCATCTGTAATGAGATCTGGTGCCCTCTTCTGCCATGCAGGCATACAGGCATATAGGCAGACAGAACACTGTATACATAATTAATTTTTAAAAAATCTGGCACCCCCTTCTGGCCTCTGAGGGACCCAGGCACACAAGTGGGGCGCACACACTTAGACAACACACACACACACACACACCACTTTTAAGAAGAAACTTGTTCGGAAGACTGATTTTACCTCTCAGACTCAGTGACAAAGCTTTGCTCCTTGGTGACTCGTTCATGTGTCTCCAGCACCTGTTCACGGTTGTCCTTAGAGCGGCTCTGGCTGGTGGGCGCTGTGGTGAAGCCTGCGGACTAAGGGAGAGTTCGAAAGCCCAGACTGTCCTGCTTGTTCTCAGGAAGAAATTCACGTGGATGGACCGCAGCTCACTCCCAACTCTCACGCGCACCTGTTTTCATTGCCAACATTAATGGGAGCCGCAGCTCCCACTTCTAACTAGCCATTAACACAAGTCCTTGCAGGGAAGGACAGCCTCCTGGGTGGGGGTCTTTACTGAGCCTGCCTGACTGGTTCCCTCTGGGAGAGTCAGCGAGGCACCGGTGTGCGCCGAGCATTGTCCCAGCTGGGTTTAGTGAGAACCCCCCCCCCCCCCGCCCAGAGTTCTGTCACGTCCCGCACAAGACAGCCACTGGCGCAGATTCACTGCTTGCACGGGTGGAAGGGGTCCAGAGGAACTGGCTTTCAGGAAAGTGGGGACAGGAGAGACCTGCGGTCAGAGACTGAAATAGAAGAGAGAGCGGGAAGGAGGGAATGAGGGAGGGGCGGGAGAAGAAGAGGGGAGGCAGAGAGGGAGGGAAAGCAGAGAGGGGAGAGAGAGAAAGAGATCTCCCTGCCTCCACGTCCTTGTCTTTCATTGTTGTCTTTATTAGTAAAATGTGTCTGTCACTGTCCACGCGTCCCCGGTGGTCTTCTGGCTGCAGAGTACCAGCCCCTGGAAATGCCAGCATTTGCTCTCTGGCTGCACCACCCAATGGTTGGCACCTGAGCCGACGGGGGCGTGGCCGGTGACGGCAGGGACAGGGCGGGGCCTGTCCCGGAAGCGGGTGCCGAGGACCGAAGAACGGGGAGATGGAGGCACCCGCGGTGCTGCTGGTGATGGGTGTGAGCGGCTCCGGGAAGTAGGTCGCGGAGGCCGCAGGCGGGCGGGAACTGGGAGGCGGTGGGGCGCCCTGAGCCCTGGGAGCCCTGCCTTTGCCGCCCCTGCTGAGGTCCCCTGCTCTCCTGCCCCGCTAGCCTCTCCTCAAGGGTCACCACCGACGAAAGCCGAGGTCCTGTTGGTGGTGCCTAGCAGCCGGGGAATGAAGGTCAGGCGTAGGGAGGCTGCAGAGCGGAAAGTTGTTACAGGAAAGACGCAGCCCGCTACAGCTTTCAGCTTCAGCCTTACATACCCTGGACCTCGGGCATCTTGCCGAGCAAGTGGGAGGGTGCAAAGTCCCAAACCAAGTGGTGAACCTTGTCCTGGGTCTGGAAAGCTTTGTCTGGTTGGGCGGATGGTTTCCCTCCTGGGTGAGTTTCCGGATTTTTCTGAATAGACATTGAAAAGTGAAGATAACCCTGCAAGGTATCGTATTCCTTGATCGTGTTCCTGCTTAAGTTGGAATGTTCATATGGAACGTGCCAGGACGCTACAAACTATGCAGTTTTTTGCCAGCCCGGTGCAGCCAGTTTAGAAGTAAGCCAGCAGTAGGCATTTCGTTTGATAGACACCGGACTGCACCGGTGTAAACCAAAGACACCAAACTGCAACACGCAACTACAGGCAACAAAATATTTGTTAACTAGTGAACCAGAGTGTCGTAGCCACACGTTCGGGCGCCCTCTGACCTTCAGTCAAGGTGGGGCGACCCACTTCTGTGGGCTGCCCCCACACCAAAGTCTTTTAAGGGTTACTGTGTCCTATCAGGAACTTTCCAAACGGTAAGGCAAGGTAGCTCTTTAAAATGAAAAATTTATTTTTATTGCGTGTGTGTGTGTGAGGGGGCGGGCCCGCACCTGCACACAAAGGAGTGCAGGTGTCTGCAGACGCATCTTATCCTCTGCAGCTGGGCTCCAGGTGGCAGTGAGCCAATCCACGTCGGTTCTGGGAACTGATCTCCAGTGCTCTGCAAGAGCAGGATGCACTCTTAACCAGTGAGACCTCTCTCCAGCCCCAGAAGGTAGCTTTAGGCTTCCAAAATTACTGTTTTATCCCCGCAGCAGGCATTCTAATTTATTAATTATTTAGCAGTATTTAATTTGAGCTAGGATTTTTGATATGCAGCCGAGGCTGGCCTTTCAAAGGCAGCGATCTGCCTCGGTTTTCTAGGTACTGAGATCACAGGCACAGTCGGCCATTCTCTGCTTCAAAAATCAAGACTCAGAACTGAAAGTGAAATGAAGCAGAGCCCAGGGCCTAGGTGTGGAGTGCTTGACTGTCCTGCCATGGGGGAACTGTGGGTGTGACTGGTGTGTGTGTGTGTGTGTGTGTGTGTGTGTGTGTGTGTGTGTGTGTATGTACTTGACTGTCCTGCCCTGGGGGAGCTGTAGGTGTGATTCCATGGCTGTCAAGCCCTGGGTTCAGTTCCAGCACCATAAAGCAAACAAATCCCTGCTGTTGTATAATTGGGAAACCTGTTCTCTCTGTTCATTGTCTCTTCCCCTTTAGAGACCCTTTCTATCTCTCCCAGAACAGCACCTATCCCATAATAAGTGCTTATGTTGTAGTAAAGCCATCTCAGCTTCTGCTAGAATAAACTTAAATCTCGATTTCTTTAGTCCTTCCCTCTCCCGCACTGGCAAACTGTCTTCTAAAGTGTCATTTAGCTCAACCTGCTGGGAGAGAGACATCTGGGCACTGAAGTTGGGTTGTAAGCTTAAATCCAGTCATTGCTTATGAGCCCCACGCTGCACCTTGTTCCTGCAGTCGTCCGGGTCCTCTAGTTTAGATCTGGATGGAGCAGGGACAATGGATTTTTCCTTTCATAATGTAGCTCTTCTTTTAGACTATAGTTGGTGGCTAACATTTATTCATAATCTAGCTTGATTGTAAGTATGATTTTTTTTTTCTGTGCAAAACTCTGGTTTGGTCAGGTGTGGTGGCACTTACCTTTAATCCCAGCACATCATAGTGGTCTCATCTTTGTCTTTTGGGAACTACTAGGTGATACATATTCAAGAAAAATTGTGACTAGAAAGATAGCTCAGTGCTTAAGAGCACTGGCTGCTCTTGTAGAAGACCTGGGTTCGATCCTAGCACTCACATGGTGGCTCCATGGGCACCGCACATGTGGTGCACTGTGGCATGAATCTAACTGGTCTGAATAATAAAAACCTGGAGTCGGATATTAGGGGTGAAAGCTGAGCGATCAGAGAAGCAGAGCCGCAGCCATTTGTTCTTACCTCTTCTAAATCTTCAGACCGAATGGGATAGCCTGTCTCTACAAGTCCTCAGACTGAATCCTGAGCGCCTGCCATCTATTCCCCTCTCTGCCCAGCCATTTCACTTCCCATCTCCACCTCCCTAGTGCTGGGATTAAAGGTGTGAGCCACCACTGCCTGGCCTCTGTGGCTAACTATGTGGCTAGCTCTGCACTCTGATCTTCAGGCAGGCTTTATTTGTTAAAGCACAAACAAAATATCACCACAGCTCACTAATTTACATGGAAACACAGCATCAACACAGCGCACTAACTTACATAAAAACAAAATATCCATATGCATAAAATAAAGTTCTTTTAATTGGCTGAAGAAAGTAGAGGCGAATAGACACCTTGTGCGGTTCAGTTCCCCTGCACAAACTGAGGACTTGAGAAACCCAGTTAGCTACAAGGATAATCAGAGCAGGAAGAGCGCTGGGGCCCAGATCTCCCCTTTTGAGGCCCCAGCCCTCACGCATGCTCTGTGGGACACCCTGTCTTAACCATTGGCCTTGACCATGCTTGAGTCACTGACCTTGTCTTTTAGGTCTGTCTTTTATGTGTATGGATTGTTGTTTTATTATTTTTGACTGCCTGTATGAGTACCACATGGGTGCAGTGTGTGAGGGAGCCAGAAGAGGGCACCAGATCCCCTGCAACTGGAGTTGCAGATGCAGGGAACCAAACCCAGGGCTGCTGGAAGAGCGGCCAGTGCTCTAACTGATAAGCCACCTCTCCAGCCCCTTCTGCGTATCTAGTAAATTAGCAATGCTTTGATTCATTTATAGCCCCCGAACTTTATACAGTGCTGCAGGAGATTAAATTTTATTAACACCCCTCTCGCTGGGTGTATCAAACACATTTCAGGACAGGCCCCCGAGTAGTTGGCCAACACAAAACAAAATAGTATTTTTTTAAATAAATAAAACCAACTCTTTTGAATCTCTGATAAAACTTCTATTTTATCCATTCAGTATTCTCTCTCAAAAGATGAACATCTACCTAATAGATAAAGCAATGATTCCCTGTTGTCATTTTGTGGGTTTTTTGAGTCAGCATCTCGGTGTGCCATCCAAACTGGCCTAGAACCAACTATCTTCCTGCCTCCATGTCTCATGTCCTGAATCACAGGTCTGTGCTGTGCCACCACAAGTAGCTGTGACACGCTGATTAGTGAGACAAAACCTTGTTGTTGTTAGTTCTTGTTTATTTGTTTTGTGGGGCGGCAAGTGCTAGGATTGCGGGCATGTACACCTGGCTCAGTGGTCTAATTAGATCTGATACACTGCTTTCGGGTACACATCTTAGGACTTCAGGGTTAAGGGCATCTCTGCTTTAGGACCAACAGGAACCTGCATTTTAATGTGACAGCTGTTCGTCTCTCAAAACAGCTGGCACATGTGTTGGGCAGTGATGTAGGAGGTTCTTCTGTATATGTGTTGCTTTTTATTGGTTAATAAATAAACTGCCTTGGCCTGTTGATAGGGCGGAGTAGAATTGGGCGGGGGAAACTATACTGAAAGCTAGGAGAAAGAAGGCAGAGTCAGGAGAAGCCACGTAGCTCCGTAACCCCGTCAGAGACAGAATCTGGACAGAATCTTGCTGGTTAGCCACAGCTACATGGCAATACACAGATTAATGGAGATGGGTTAATTTAAAATACAAGAGTTAGCCAGAGGAGGCTGGAAAGATGGCTCAGTGGTTAAGAGTACTGACTGCTCTTCCAGAGGACCCAGGTTCAATTCCCAGCTCCCACATGGCAGCTCACAACTGTCTGAAGATTCATTTGCAGGGGATCTGACACCTTCACATCAATGCACATAAAATAAAGTTAAATAAACCATAAAAAAAGAGTTAGCCAGAAATACACTTAAGCTATTGGCCAAACAGTATTGCAAATAATATAGTTTCTTTGTGGTTATTTCGAGGCTGAGCAGCCAGGAACAAACAAGTGGCCTCCTACAACAGGGCAGAAATGGAGACATCTCTGTTCTTTCCGCAGATCTACCGTGGGCAAACTGCTGGCCTCCAAGGTAATGTCCCTCATCCACTGTTTCCTCCCTTTCTTATGAACTATGGTTTGATGCCTTTGCATGGCAATCCAGGATTCTTCTTGGTAATGGTAAGTGACAGGGGCAGCCTCAGAGCAGCGACTTCTTCCCTCCTTCCTTCCTTCAAGATTTATTCGTTTTATGTATATGGGTGCTCTATCTGCATGTACACCTGCAGACCAGAAGAGGGCATCCAATCTCTCCACAGATGGTTGTGAACCACCATGTGGTTGCTGGAAATTGAACTCAGGATCTCTGGAAGAGCAGTCAGTGCTTGTAACCCCAGAGCCATCTCTCCAGCACCCAGACCAGTGATTTTTATACCTGCCTGCCAGTAAGCTCCCCGTGACTGAACCGTGGGCCTTGCTGATGCTATGTATACTCTTCCTTCATTCCTAAAGCTGGGATGGAAATTCTACGATGCTGATGATTACCACTCCGAAGAGAATCGGATGAAGATGGGGAGAGGGGTACCACTGAGCGACCAGGTAACGTTGGCTATGGGTGTCCAAGATCTCTGTATCATGCATCCTTCTTTATTAGCTCGGAGCCTGAACTTTCCCATGAACTCGGCCCCAGGAGTGAGCTACCTTCTGCCCTATCTCATGCATAGCCAGCCACAGTTTGTTGCAGGATTTTAATCTCTAATCCCCAAGTGGGCTGAGGCTTCTCCCTTGCATTCATACAGGGAAGTTAATGCCTCCCAGGCCCTCATCTCCCCCACACCATCCAAGTTCTGGTGAACTCCAAGGCCACAGCAACCGTGCAAATGTGTGAGCAGGTGTGATCAAGTGTGGCTGGGTGTCTTAATTACTTTTCTATTGCTGGGTTAAAACACCATGACCGAAGCATTTTATAAAAACACTTAATTGGGCTTAGAGTTTCAGAGGGTTAGAGTCCATGATGGTGGAGCAAAGGCAAGACAGCGGGAACAGCTGAGATTTTCAATAATTGATCTGAAACAAGAGGCAGAGAGCACATCGGGAATGTGCACATCGTTTAAAACCGCAAAGCCTGCCCCCAGTGACACTTCCTCCAGGGAGGCCACACCTCTTAATCTTCCCCCCAAAGTTCCATCAGCTGGGGTAGGAACTAAGTACCCAGACACCTGCGCCTATGGAGGCGGGGCTCACTCAGGCCACTGCACCAGGCACCATGTCTGAGACCCTTTGGGCCTTCAGTGATCTCAAGTTTGTCAAGTCTCTTTAAGAAGTGTTAGGTGCTCTTCTGTCTCCAGCAGGAGCCTCTCAGCTAGTCCCTGCCATGGTCATGTTCCTCCTCATGGGGCTCTTGTGTCCGCTGTCCCACCGAGCTCCTCCTCCCAATATCTCAGCTCCTAGGCCACTCCTCGGGGATGCCAACTCAAAGGCCATCCCTTCCTTTCGAGCTGAAGGTCTTGATAATCCACCAAAGGCAGGCTTCCCCGGAATTAAATTTCAGTTGTTGAAAAGGGTATGGCGGTTGTGTGGTGTGGCGGTTGTGTGGTGTGGCACAGGGATGACACTGGTTCAGAATCTCAGGCAAGAGGGGAGACCTTTCTTGGATGGCACTGGGACTTCAAGGCTGGCCTTCTGCTCCCCACACCTGGGAGCTGCTTTAGAGAATATACCTGAGAGGCTGGAGAAGTGGCTTCGTGCTTAGGAGCACTGGTGGCTCTCTCAGAGGTTTGGGTTCCGTTCCCAGCACCCACATGGCAGCTCACAGGTGCCACTAACTCCAGTTCCAGGGGATTCCCCTGCCCTCTTCTAGCTCCTGTGGTCACTGCATGTACTCAGTATGCTATATACACACAGGCAAAACACTCACATAAAACAAAATCATACTTGAAGAAATATACCCCAAAGTTAAAATTAAAAAGCTTAATAATACCATCACTTTGTTCATTCCCATCAGTGCTTGAATGTGGTAGGCAACCCTGGCTAACCAAGGCACTACAAGAGCCAATTTGAAAGACAAGTTCAAGTGGTATATTAAGAAGTTAACTCGGTGGGGCAGTGGTGGCACACACCTTTAACCTCAGCACTTCAGAGACAGAGGCAGGAGGATCTCTGAGTTCAAGGCCAGCCTGCACTATAGAGCCAGGCTACACAGAGAGACCCTGTTGGGGGCGGTCAGCTCAAGGGTAAGTAGAAAGCTGCAGATGCACCTAGATGAAGGTTCTGATTAGGTGTACCGGGAGGATATATTAGCTACAGTAAGAGGTGTGTGAGCACCACAGCCAGGGGAGACATTCACACAGCAGGGAGGCTGCGGGGGGTATAAAGGATGTAGCTTAAGGGGACTTACACTATTATGAAAGAGCCACTGACACCAGAGCCAAGGAATGGTTTCTGTGGTTGTAGGGCCTTGGGCATGGCCCTCAGCTTGGCCATGCCCAGTTCCCACAACCACTAAGGTCCCTCTGGAGCTAACATTTGTGACTTATGGTACCATTGTTTCTTACCTGGGAAAGTTTCTAATTCTTGTTCTAATTTTAGGACAGGATTCCATGGCTCTGCAGCTTGCACGACATATTAGTAAGGTAAGAAATCATCTGCCCCTGGTATAATCCAGTAAGTTAAAAAAAAATCAATGTTGAAATTACAACTGGCTGCACCCATGCCAAAGACATGGGTAAACCAGGTCCTCAGTCAGCTCTGCCCTCTGAACAGCTCGGAAGGGAGAAACTGACGATGCCTGGAGCCCAAGATCATTCAGATCTCCTGTAAAACCTCCACTAAGGCTGAACGCACTCAGGGCTCATTTCCTAGTAACACTTCGCATTGGCAGAGACCACTCCGCCACCTAGAACTGACACAAATTCTAGTACCCCCATTCTGCAGCCCTCATCTTTTTTTCCCTCTGGGGGTGGGATGCATCTTGTTCCTTTTATTTTGGAAACAGAGATGTGGCCTTGGGACAGCAAGTCATTCTAGCCTGTTCAGCCCTGAAGAAAATGTACAGAGATATCTTGATACAGGGAAGAAGTGATGAGCCCCTGAAAAGCAACGAGACCGCAAAGGAAAGGCTGGCCAGTCAACAGCTCTTGGTGGTCTATCTCTGTGGCTCGTTTGAGATCATTTCCAGACGACTGTCCCAACGAAAAGGACATTTTATGCCGCCCGAGTTACTGCAGTCCCAGTTCAGTATTCTGGAGCCTCCATCAGCTCCTGAAAACTTCATCCAGGTCAGCGTGAATCAAAGTCTCTCGGAGATCGTCGATGCCATTCTGGAAGCTCTGCCAATGAAGTAATCACTCCACACCTGTGGGGTCGCGCACGCTCTAGTTCCAAGCTCGCCAGTGTATTCTAGGTTCCTCATTGAGAACAGACTGCAGTACATGGAGCACCGTTTGCCTGTATGGACGGGAGTCTGTGGTGTGCCACAGCTGTGCCAGGAGGGGAAAGGATGTACAATGCAACCAGATGGTCAGTGGAAATTGTGCAATCAATGCTAGAAATTATTCCCGTTTAAAAGAACAGTGCCTTGTGCTTGTGTTTGCACAAATGGAGGAAATCTGCTACCCTGGAGGCCCACTGGAATTGGTCTCGGCAATAGAGACCTGAACTCAGAGCAGCCACTCACTGCTGGCATTTCATGCCATGCTGCTCTTGGTTTTCAAGCAGGGTTTCTCCGTGTAACAGCTCCAGCTGTCCTGGAACTCACTCTGTAGAGCACCCTGAAGCTCACCGAGATCCGCCTGCCTCTGCTCCCCCAGTGCTGGGATTAAAGACGTGCACCACCACCACCCCGCTGCTGACTGTTTTTAAATATTTAGATTAGCATACAAAATCATAGACTTCACTTTCCTTTATTATTTATATCTTCCTTTATTATTACTGTGATTATTTTTTCTTTTGGGCCTCACTGTGTAGCCCTGGTTGGCCTTAAACTCAGAGATCTACCTGCTTCTGCCTCCCCAGTGCTGGGATTAAAGGTGTGCGTTACCATAACTGGCTTCATCTTCATACAAACGTCATTATGTCCTATAATCTGCCATTAATTACGCTTTGCTTTAATTCATCCCCCTTCACAGCCTCCCCTACCCTTGTCCCCTGCTCCTCCCTGGCAGGTTCCCTTCCTTTCCCTTCCTGCATCCTGCATTCATGGTTTCTCTTTAAGATCTCTTCCTGCCTGCTTGGTGTACACATCATATATGTATATGAAATTTTAAGTTTAGGTCCTGCTTGGGAGAGAATATGAGCCTTTTTACAACTACATAAAATTCCATTGTATACGAACATCACATTTAAAACTTTTTTTTTCTTTTTTTAAAAAAGCTGTGTAGACATGTACACCAGGCTGGTCTAGAATTCACAGAGATCTGGCTGCCTCCTGAGTGCTGAAGTTAAAGGTGCGCACCACAACTGCCGGGCATACCCCATTTCTTTAACTGTTAATTTTTTGAGTGTCTCTCTATGTAGTCCTGGCTGTCTTGGAGCCCCCTACATTGACCAAGCTGACCTCAGACTCAGAGAGCTGAGATTAAAGGTGTGTGCAACCATACCCATGAGGGATTTTTTTTTTCAGTTGATAGGATGGGGAAGACCCATCCTATCGGGAGCTGCTAGGTCCTGGCCTCAGCACTCTCTCAGGGTTCAGAATAGGACTTCTATGACAAGCGAAGACTGGGCTTGGAAAATGGACCTGAGGGGTAAAACAAACTGACTTAGGCTTGTTTTTCCTGAAAGTTTATTCCTTAGGGGAAGATGAGAATAAGGGCTAAGGGCAAGACGTAAGGGATAAGGGGAAGGGAAAAGAAGCGTAGGAGTATAAGGTATAAAAAGGGTAAGAGTAAGGAGTGATCCACAAAGCTTTCCGTTTATATAGGCAGACACATTAACAATCCCGCAGGCAGTAACAACAGTGTCAAGCATGCATTTTCAGTCATCAGAGACTGGTGGATCTGGTAAGCAGGCACCCTATGTCTCAGCGGGGCTTCTGGCCTGTGGGCTTGATTTGCATCAGCATCTAGCTGGTTGACTTTAAAGGAATCTCTTCTGGGGACCCTGCTTTTGACTCCAGCAGGGTGCTCAGTGAGAATTTTTCTCTCTGAAGCTAGTTTTAGCAACTCTGGCCTTTTTCCTGTATAAACAATTTCCTGGGCTATGATCCTATGTTAGTTGAAACCAAGGTAATACAGAATATTAGCCTGTTAAGTCAGAGCAGAAGACCAGTAGATTACACCTTCTGAGTCTCCTGTATGAGGCTCCTCTCTTATCAGTGAGTACTATCAATGAGAAAGCTTGTGGGTGACTATTTTTATGTAGATTTTGGCTGAGAATAAGGACTTGACTTTCAAATCTTGACTTCATGGTGTGGGGGAGGGAACCGGTTGACCTACAGGAAAACTCAGGTTTATACACTGCTGGGATACTACACAAGGGAGAAATGCCATGATTTCACAAGAGTTTTACAGAATTGATAGTGACTTATCCAAAGGAGATGTTCCGCAGCTTTGCAGAAAGTGGTTCTCCAGGTGGAGTGCACATATATACTTACCGTGGACAGTCCCGTAGATCAGCCAGCTGTATACTTACTGTGTAACACCTGGGGCTCCCCACCCCAATGTGGGCAGCTCCACCCTATGGGCTTGGGTCCCACTCTAAATAAAAAGCACTTGCGTTGAGCAGCAGGCTTCACTCCATGCTTCCTGACTGAATGCAATGTCACCAGTCACTACAGGCTCAAGCTGCCATGCTGGCCTCACCCGCCAACTGTGAAGTCACATGAGCCCACCCTTATTTTCCCAAGGTGCTGCTTGCCAGGTGCTTGGTCACAGCAGCAGGGAGAATGGCCGCACCTGGCACTCCTGTGGCCTTTCTGCTCTGCCACTTTGCCAAGTAATTTGGGACATGTCCTCCCTGGTGTCAGAACATGGTCCAATGTTCATATTCCTGCCAGATGAGGCCAAGAGTTCCTCACATGGGCCAGGCATGGTGGTGCTCACCTTTAATCTTAGCAGTCCAGGGGCAGCTGAATCTGTTAGTTCAAGGCCAGCCTGGCCTACTTGCTTAGTTCCAGGAAGGCTCCAAAGCTACAGAGACCCTGTTTCAAACAAACAAACCAAATAATAAAAGCATGAGTTCCCTACACTGAGAAGTAGAGGAAGGAACTGTGAACCGGCTGTACGTACTGGGCCGCAGCTACGATAAGTCCTCTGGGAGCCTGGAGGAAAAGACCTGGTAGGAAACTTGGGACTTGGTCTAGATCTGCTGAACGACATAGTCCTTGGTAGATGGTTTCTGTGCCCAACTCCCTCCCCATGACAGATCTGAAAACACCCTAGATAAGTCTCATACCACATCACCACAGATGTGCCACGGCTGGACCTGAGACTGTTATGGGACCAGAAAATGAAGAGAAAGACAGTGGGTTCCCAACCCCCAATGCAGCTTAGCATCGATGTCTCAGGGCTGCAGACATGGCTCAGTGTAGAACACTCACTGAGCATGTGCCAAGCTTCGGTTCTGATCCCCAGTGCTACAAACCTGCCCATCAAGCATGCTAAGCCATTGCAACCAGGCTGTTCAGGCAGCTGACCCGAGAGCCTGATCCAGAACCCCAGGCAAGGTCTGGCCAATCAGACCCCATTTGGATATATAGTTTATGTAGACCACCACCTGGATGGAAGCTGGCAGGTTCCAACCAAGCAAAAAACCCACTGGACAGTTCAGGCAAATCTACAAAACTCCAGGTGAGAAGCCGCCTCCGCTATGATGCTTCTGGCTGGTGACCCGGTGAGAGCTGCAGAGTAACTGTCACTCGGCCAGGACCAAAGGGAGAGCAGAGCACAGAAAGGGGTGCAGTGAACTGGTCGTAGAATACAGGATAGGCTGGGCAGTGGTGGCAGCACTCAGGGAGGCAGACAGGTGGATCTCGGTGAGTTCGAGGTCAGTCTGGTTTCCCGACTGCTCAGACCTCAATGCTCACAGAAACTAGATTAATTACAACACTGTAGGGCCAATGACTCAGGCATATTTCTAGCTAGCTCTTATGTCTTGAATTAACCTTTGTTTGTTTGTTTGTTTTTTTAAAGTTTCTCTGTGTAGTTTTGGTGACTGTTCTGGAATTAGCTCTTGTCCCGACCAGGCCGGCCTTGAACTCCACCTGCTTCTGCCTCCCAAAGGCGTGCACCACCACTGCCTGGCAAATTAACCTATTTTTGTATTGTAATGAGGCTGTGGTTTACTGGAAAGGTCGTGGTGGGGGGCATAAGCAGCTACGTTGTGTCTGCCTGACTCCATCTTCTCCTGCCTGGCTTTATTTTGGCTGTCCAGGCTGGAACTGTCCTACCCAGAAAAGACCACACTTCTGACAGTCCTTGAACCTGACTAGCAGGGAACCTTTGGAGATTCAGTCAATTTTGTCACCTCCCCGCCCCTTATATGTCAGAGTGAGATACAGTCAGCCCCCATCCTGAGACCCAGGGACTGGGGCCAGAAAGCAAGCAGCAATCAGGGATCTTGGGGACTCCCTGCCATTTGGTTGCCATGGAGATAGCCAGCAAGGCATAGAAAGGGGGAGGGCCAGATGTAGACACAGTGAGAGGCTGGAACACATTGGAGAGGGGCCTGGACTATAGAACACAGTGCTCACCCACTTCTATGGTGGGGGACAAGCCTTTAGCTTGCACATTACCATGGAAACAAAGCTCTGAGCACAGTCTAGGACTGCACAGGTCTCCAGCCTCCTCCCCCACAGAGCAGCTTGCTGCTGGGTAAGAGCCTAAACCAACACTTCAGCTGGGACATGTACTACCTCCAGGTGAACAAAGCGGTGGACAAGGGTGCTCTGGGGGGATGGGAACCTGAACAGTCACAGGTGACTGAGCCCACAGGAGCCAGCAGCAGCTCCTGAGGCACAAAAACTGCAAAGTTCCACAATTCATTCAGCATTGACCCTGGCCGCTTAACACTGACAGCCCAGACCTCAGCCCAGTGGGAACCAAGAGAAACTGCAGTGAAGCATCTACAAATGGAGACTCCCCTAGAGGGCTGGGGGAAGGTGAGGACCCGGGAGGAGCTCCCACATTCAACTCTCTCTTACACACATACACTCTCTCTCAACATTTTACCTTTTTATATTTTACTACTGTCTTTTTATTAATTTTTATTTTGTTCTTAACACTCCAATAGCTGAATTCAATGATATTTAATCCCAGCACTCAGGAGGCAGAGGCAGAGGCAGGTGAGTTTGAGGCCAGCCTGGTCTACACTGCAAGTTGCAGGTCACTCAGTCAGCTACAAAGTGAGATCCTATCTCAATAAAAAGGAAGGGGCTGGGGGAGGTGCGAAGGATGTCTTGTGCACTGTCCTCCTACACAGCCCGGCTCCCCTTCGGTCGGTGTAAGACAGGCTTGCATTTTACTGCTATAGTTGAGGGACAGAGAGCAAAGAACGTCTGACTGAGAATTATTCAGTGAGTACAAGCTCCTCCAGAAAATTGGTACTCAGCCTGTGGGGTGAGACCTTTGGGAGTCAACCACTTTCACAGATGGTTAGGTTTACTGCATATCACATATTTACATTCAGATTCTTAACAGTAGCAGAATTATAGTTATGAAGTAGCATTGAAAATAATTATATGGTTGGGGTCACCACAGCATGAGGAACTGTGTTAAAGGTCGCAGTATTAGGAAGGTTGAGAACCACTGCTCGAGGAAAAGACAGCATATGACATCACTTCTGTACCCACCCAGATGTCAGAGAAGGAAGAAGAAATATAAAACAAAGCCAAATTCTGAAATCCAGAGGAAAAGAATGCAGTAATAATAGAAAAAGCTAATTGATTATAAAAAGGTCAAGCAACCACTGAGGTAGCACAAACTGAGCCCAGGCAGGACAGGAGTGGGAGAGCATGCAGAGAACCCAGGACGGCGAGCGAGCTGCTAGAACAGCTTCTCACAGCAATGTTCACCGGACAAAGCATTAAAAATGGCCAAGCAAGGGGGCTGGAGAGATGGCTCAGAGGTTAAGAGCATCGCCTGCTCTTCCAAAGGTCCTGAGTTCAATTCCCAGCAACCACACGGTGGCTCACAACCATCTGTGATGAGGTCTGGTGCCCTCTTCTGACCTGCAGGCATACACACAGACAGAATATTGTATACATAATAAATAAATAAATATTTAAAAAAAATGCCAAGCAAAGGGGTGCCTAGCATCAGTAAAGGGGATATCTAACAAGATTAGGAAAGGCTGTTAAGCAACAGTCTTAGTACTGGGCTTACCAAATTTAATATCACTCTATGAAAGAATATACAATATGCAGTTATTTCCCTGTCTTATAACCACATTTTTGGCCATGAAATTTTGTAACACACTTTTTAGTCATCTGTGTCATACTTTGCTAATTGTTTTGTATACTAACAGTCTCCGGTTACTCACTAGTCATTTCTGTCTTTTGTTTTCTGCTCTGTGGTATAATGCTTTTGTTTAAAATGCCAAAAGACCAGCAGATAGGATAAGAAAAAGAGGGAGTATTTGTGTTCCTCTTTCGCAGAGGGTCAGCCTGCTGGACAGACTGGACAGGGGGGTCAGTGTAAACCCTTTCTTAGGGAGCACGGTGCTAGACTGACTACCAGATATGACCCGAAGAATCAGAAACGTTCAAGGTCTCTGCTGAAAGTGAGCTAAAAGTCATAAGAATAGAAAAACAAGGCATAAAGCTAAAACTGAAGTATCCTAATGAAGTACTGAGAGAGTGGACCCATCAGTGCTTGTCACCACAGGCTGGTGGACGATATGCTGCCTGTGAAACAGCCAATGGCTGATCACAACTCCAAACTAAAAGGACCTCTGAATACTCAAAGGTCGACTGTAGACACTTTAAAATAGAATTGGCATTAATGTTTTTAAGATGTGTGGCAAAAAAACATCTACAGTGGAGAGATTCATAAAAAATGTGAATACTGAAGATGTTTTAGACAATAGCAACGAGCAAGGCTGTTGAGAATCAGGTCAGTATGATAAATAACCAGACCAGCTTAAGAGTAACAGTTATTTTAAGGGGGAAACTCACGCTACAAGAGTGGGAGGTCCGATGTCCTATCTGTCCAGCGGGCACTGTGCAGAGAGAGCGCGCACCTGTTTCCTCCCAGTTTTTCTATCTGGGCCCCAGGTAGCCATACCCTAACTAGATGTGATTGGTTGATAGTTTCCCCATCATGAGGCTCCAGGTGTTCATTCCTTTCATTCACACAGGCTGCGGTAAAAGATGGCTCTAACTGTGATGAAGATAATGTGCACAACACGGCAAAACTGCCTCTAGACAGCACCTGCAACCGCATGATGGGCTGACTGAAGGGCTAGGCTGTGTGCATTCATACCAGAAGTCAAGTCAATTTATCAAACAGACTTCTGGGACAGAAAAAAAAGTTGTTAATGAGGCAGAGGACTCTGGGAGAAATGTTTGAAAATGAAAACACCAGTCAGTCACATCTCCAGAAGACCCGCTTCCCAGTTCCTGGGCTGCCTTTGATGTTTCCCACCTGAATAACAATACAAGGAACTTTAAGAGTTTAATCAGAAGCAGTACTGCAGCTGGGAGCGGAAGGTTTGCTGTTGACCTGGGGATTCTGGCCTGGGGGTGTGGTTTTCTCCCACTGTATTGCTGTGTCTGTCATATTTTCACTACTTATGTGTGACTGGGTGTAAGGAAATGGCTGTTCACTGGTGGCATATATATTCAGCCAGTTATGGTGATGTCACACAACCAGACTGTCCACATTGGGAGGAGAAATAGTGACACGCTTGCTTTCTGGTGAGCCAGTGGATACAAACTTTGTTCCATCCACAAAGTGATTTAAAATACCGTGTATAAGGTGGGCATAAAACATTAATGGATTTTATATCTAGACTTGGGGCATACTCCTTAGATATCTCATTAGCACATCTACTCTAAAACCCAAAACAACTGAAACTTTTGGCTCAGAGCATTTCAGACAGAGATGATTTCAACATAATGTGACTCTGGCTGGCTGTAGTGGAAGCTGTTCCCCCCCCCCCCCACACACACACACCATTACCTGTGAACTTCAGGAGCAGGGTCAGTTCTTGGCACACTTGTAACAGATGGACTGTGCTCTGGGATGTTTCTGCTGTCTTGTCCCATCACCCTGTAACAATGTCAATCAATCCCCATAGGCTGGTGGATGACTGTGAGTTCGAGGACAGCCAGAGATACATGGTAAGGCCCTGTATAATAATAATCTCGTTCATTACTATGGTTAAACCAAACTTGAAATCCAAGATTTGGGTATTTTTTTCCTCTTTAGTCTTTTCATACACAGGATCTCACTGTATATCCAGACTGGCCTCAAACTTTGGATCTCCCCCATTTACAGACATGCACAACCCCACTTGGCTTGAGATTAGAAATCCTGAACAGACAGATCCAGCCACCATTTGCCTGACTATTTGTTATCTGGTAACTTTGGTTTAGAGTTTCAGTTTCACCCCCTCTACTCTTCACTCCAATTGTTCTCAAGAACTTGGTGTAAGACCCACCTCTGCCTGCACTGTCTTCTCTTGGCCCTTCTGCTCTGCTGCCTCACACGGGTCAGACCTGCTCAGAGCTGAGAGCATCTAACCTGCTGGTCGGCTCGCTGTCAACACTGTACTTGCAGGACAGGGTGGCCCATGCCTATGATGATAATACTCGGGAGCCTTATTCAGGAGGAGGGCCGGGTTCATTCAGTCTGGGTACACACACACATATATGCATTTCAGAATAGCCGGTCTACAGAGTGAGACCCTCCTGTACAAACCGCTGTTATGCCCCCCTAAAGAAATACCCAACTTCTCATAAAATTCAGGATAAATCACGTCAAATAGGCTTTACATTAAGATGTGTTGAGAAAAAAAAGACATCTTTCTACAAAAGAGGCAAGACAAACCAGTGTAAAAGCTGGAAATTTATTGTTATTTTGTGATTAATAAATCAAGCTGGTATGACACTGCCCCTCGTGTGGTGCCATTCACCAGTACAGAAGTCTTTAAACCAGATAGACCGAGGCATAAGGCAGAGAGCAGAGACATGAACACTGTCCTTGCCAGCCTCTTCCAGTCCCACCTCCACCCTGCCCTCTGTACACGCTTTCTGCTTGGGGAAAGTGTCAAACAGTGCGCAGTCTGGGGCAACCTGGTCTCTCAACCTTTTAATAGCAAGCAACTTATACAAGTTATGAAATTCATCTTCTCTTTCCCTTGATTTTATTCATCTGAACTCATCTGAGATTATTTGAACATTATAATTTTGGATAACTGTACAAGAGAATACAATGACCTAAGAGAATACTGAACCAGAGCCAGCTGCATATATCACTGACCCTAAAGCTGTATTTTAATTGGTCCCGAAGGAATGTATCACCTCAACAGTGTGAGAGTTAGGCAAACAGAACTTCTTTGGGGAGGAAGAAAGAGGCTATAGGACAGCCAAACTTACTCAAAACTGTTAAAACGGCTCTTTGTTTTCCACCAGACTGACACTACTATATGCATAGAATCTTCACAGAATCTTGGCTGCCAGTATTACTTAATTCAGACTGGCCCAATCCAGAATAGATTCTGTCTCACCCCTCCCCCACCCCCTTCTCCGAGGCCCTGAACAGCACGACATTCAACTATTTCATAATAGAACTAGGCAAACACTTCAGAAACAAGTGGCTCACTAATCATTTTAAATCCAGGTACTGCCTATGAATGAGAAAGCTGATAAACCCAAAAAATAGCTCTACTTCTATATGGCAACTAAAACGGAAACATCAGCACTTTCAGTGAAAGCAGCATTTCAATCAAATGCAATGCTGCTCGGACACCCACGGGGAGCAGAAGCCCCGGCAAATGCACTGGAGTATGTTACAGTGCTCCTTCAGTCTGCACAAAATAAAGGTAATTTACAGCCATTATGTAAATGTTGAAATATTGTTACATTATATTGTCTGTACAATTAAATGTCCCTAAAGCGATAACCAGAATCAGTTTTCTTTATTGTCCACACACCTGACTAAATGGCACTTCTGCTGAAAGATGTTTATCAAAGGTGCTGTAAGATTCTACACAATTGAGAACCCTTGTCTTACGCTTCTGGTTACAGGGATTTTGCTTAGATGACCTAAAAATGTGCACTAGTTTGTGCTGCACACACATAAGCAAACTGTCAGCAGTATAAACCTTACAGCGTTGTTAGCAAAAGTACATGCCAAAGTCACAGTTAGCAATATTGTACCACAAATCATGGAGCGCAATGATCTGCTTTGTAATGCCTTTATTCTACATAAATTACTACCATGGGGTTATGTTTAAAAAGCAAGTTAGTTGGACAGATGCAGGACAAAAATTTGTTCACCCAATTAGAAAAGGTGATATTTTAAAAAAATTACAATGAATGCCAAGTGTTTGATGCATGCAGCAGCCTTAACTGAAAACATTGATTCCCACTGTTCCAAAGATACAGACACCCGCATATCCTACTGCACTCCACCTCAGATGCGTCCTATTGGTTTCCTTTATAACAGCACAGAATTCCAATGAAATAAAGCAGGTTATTTTAAAGATTTAAGAGCCGTTATCAAAAATAAATTACATTTTTTTTCAGGATACAGAAATGCTGCTATGACGGCTGGGAGCCCAGTAACCTTTCAATGGCTGCATTGATATCGCCCCCTGTTGCTATTAGTGCTTGCAAGTTTGCTTCACGGTTCAAAAATCCCATGGCACTGAGCTGTTCCAGTTGTTGCTGGAATCTGACTTCTGGACTCTGCAGCTGTTGAAGAGATCAAAGAAGCACATTCTAAGGAGAGGCAGTCTATGCTAACCCAAGCCACTGCTCAAACACTTCAACTGCTTTTTAAACAACGCATGTTGGTCTGTCGAGCTCTCTTTAAATCGTTACGTGTGCCCTGAGATACATACACCATATCTGGCTATTAAAGAGAATGAACTTACTGAACTAAAATATACAAGACCATCTACAATTATTTTATAAAGAAAGAGGGCATTTCCAAGTGTTAGTCTACAATTTATCCTTACATATATATGTGCATATTTACTTCAAATGAGAAAAATATGATTTAAATAATTTAGCTATAATTTTAAATATCTATCATATTTAAAAGTTGTTTAGCGTTTTATTTTAGAATAGTGTATTCCTAAACAATCATGACAAATAGACTATGTAATTCTGCCTTTTAAAAAAAACTTACAGACTGGAGGTGAGTGCTTGGGGCCTTGGATTTGAATCACTAGGCCCTCTTTCTCCCCATATCCCACAAAGAGTAAAACTGGCTTAATAAATCCCCCAGCTTAATAAATCCCATCACTGTAGAGGCTTGTAACAAGCAGGAACTCTTCTTAAAGCCCATGCCCAGACAGCTGATGGTTTCTCTGTATTGATACTGAATGTGCTTCAATTATACCACTAACTAGCCTGGTTGTAATAATGTGCTATATGTGCACCATGTGCATGTCCGATGCTCACAAAAGTTAGAAGTTAGAAGAGCCCCGAGACTGAATTACAGATGGCTGCGACCCACCATGTGGGTGCTGGGGATTGGATCTGGGTCCTCTGGAAGAACAGCCAGTGCTCTTAACCACTGAACAAGCCATTTCTCCAGGGTCCCTTGCTGGCAAATTCTTAGTAAAGACAATACATGTTCATAGATGCGAGACTAAGGAGTCCACACACTTAAGTTGCAACAGGAAGTGTTGGGGTAGGGGACAAGCTAGAATAGGAAGCCTAGAAACAGTTGTTCTGAAATACTAACAATATTTTTAGGTTTTCTCTGATAAACCCTTATAAAACCTATTTCAAATGACTTTGAAGAAAGTATTTCAAAACTTACACTTTATAAGGCTATTTCTAAATACTATGGCATTAGATTGAAGCATTCTTTTCTTTGGTATCTGATACAGCAGCAAAATTAACAATTTCTGTAATGCATGAATATCTTTAGATGTGATATCCTTGAATAGTACTTTTCAGACACTAAATGGCTGCTACTTTCTTTTTGCCTTTTTTGAAAATTCTATACTTAGGTTAGGAACACAGAATCTGTAAAGAAAAGCATTGTCACCTGAGGATTCACCCCAGCAAGAGCTTGCAGCATTTGCTGGATAAACTGCTGGTGGCCTGGCTCAGTAGCGCCCCCTGTGGGGCTCGTGTTTTCATTAGGTGCAGAGCTAGGTGCGTTGTTTCCTGATGAGCCTCCAGAATTGCCTGCTGACCCCAAGCTAGGAGCAAACCTAGGGACAGCACACACAGAAGGGATGGAGTCAGTTACATCTGAACATGATACTGGCTAAGTTATTTTCTTAAAAGTAAGTAGATATATAACTTTGAAAACTGACCAAGAAATAACTCAACAGCCAAAATAAAATGTCAAATGATATTAATTCTATAATTCACACAGAAATGAACCATCATGTGCTTTCAAGTCTCTCCCAAATAAGCCTACCCTGGGATGAGGCCGGGGGCTTCTGTTGCCAATGTCTGCAAGCCCTGCTGGATCTGCAACAACGCCTGCATGGCTCTAGGGTTTGACATTGCTGACAGTGTGTCAGGGTTCTGCATCTAAGGAAGAAGGAAAAGCAGTGGTTACCAAAGCATTAAAAGCATGATAGGTACATTTTTCCAACTTAGCTATATTTTTGAAGAAAACCTAAAACCTTACTCCCAGATAGCAGTACTCCATATTTCTTCCCAAAATACACACAAACTCTCCTCTTTGACAGCAAATTCCACACACAGGTCATTACCTGACTCAGTTGCAAGCCTACCATAAAGGCCGTTTTCAGAATGAAGACAATTAAGAGCAATCCCAGAAGTCACATTTTCCCCTTCTCCAACAGGAAAAAAAATTTAAAAAAATAGCTATTTCTTAGCAACTCCAAATGTACAATGTATTGGATGGCGGCAATATGGTGGAAGCCGTGTGCATCTTCTGACCACGCGCTGTCTGCTGCTAACCTAACAATGCTGCCAGTCTGCCATCTCAGACAATTGCTCCAAAGTTGAACCAACAGTGTCCTGAGTGTAGCTTCCTCACTTTCAGATACCCACGCCCGACCAAGGAGAGGGCACTGAGCCCACTGCAGCAGACCGAGGACAACACTGACCATGGAGAACGACTGGCTGGACTGACCACCATTTCAGCCAGACAGCAACCCCGAGAACTTCCAGCTTCAAAAGCACCAACACCACTTTTATGTCTTGAAATAATACTGTGACAATCTTGGGCACTACCTTCTTTTTAAACCTCCTTGCTGTGACAACACTGATACTTTAGCCTTCCTATTTCTGGCTCTGAGGACATGAGGTCTACTCCTTGGAGAACAAGCACTCTACTAATTCGGAAGAGACTGAGACACTACAACAAAACCCAACCTGTGATGTCAGAGAGGGCAGCTCACTCAGAACTAGTCCAAACTCTAGTGGATGTACCACACGGAAGCACTTCAAGGGTAGGAAGGGGAAGGAAATGGCCCATGATATTAAGGAAGTATTCCGCATCCTAAAACCTCATGGTCTAAGCACGTCAGGAGTGATACAGGCTGGGAAGACCAGGCTCAGGGTTTGCATGTGTGCAGCACCACAGGCCTCTGCACTGCCCCATCAGCAGGAAGGAGGACACGTTCATCATCAAACCTCTCAAGCAGATCATTACAAAGACAGCAGCATCTTTTCTTACTCACTTGTTGGAGGAAAGTTGGGAGCTGTTGTCTCATTTGTTCTTGAAGCTGAGGATTTCCAGCAAATAGGGGATTATTCAGCATCATCTATGGGGCAAGTGTTCAAACAATTTTAACTGGAAATATCTGAAACAAGTAATGTACCTGGTTTAATATTCTACCTTCCTCCAAATGCCTAAATTGGCACTGAAAAGGGAGGAAGGGAGAACATAAATAAAAAAAGGAGCAGGAAGTTCTATCCATAAGGAGCTGGGGGAGGAGGGGAGAAGGAAGAAGGCAGGTAGGAAGGAAAGAAGGAAGGAAGAAAGGCAGCTTCTCTTTGACCAACAGTGGTGGATGATGGATGTCATGCTGGGCCCTAAAAAATAAAAGCAATTGTTTTGTAGCCTTTTCCTTGAACAAAGGTAAACTTCTGCCTTTGGGGGAAAATCTGGGAGTCCTGGGTTCTCAGGAAGACAATGCTTTGGCTACACTACAGAATAAAAGAACATTAATATGTAAAAACTTAAATATGGCTTGCTTAGAAACCTCACCACACAAACAGCAAGCACAGAGAAATCAGATCTTGCCACTACTAACAGTTGATATTAGGTCCAGAATAACCATGAAACAGCAACCAACTGCCAGAGAAATGGAGCTGCTAGATGAAAACCAGCCCAGACTAGCACCATCAGTCCTCTGGGGAGGTGTAAAACACCCAAGACCCAAAGATGTAAATGAGAACACCAAGATTAATGTCTCAATTCCACCTCACTAGCAGCACAGGTAGAAAAGTGGGATTCCTCCAAACCTTCAAAGTATGAGCAATTGAACGTGACGTGACTGCCTGAAGGTAACATCATCATACAGTCAGCAAACCAGAGACTGCTAAGTTCAAAGGAGACAGATTGAGTACCTCTTTCCAATGAGTGACTGATAGCCTGTTTTCCTGTCCAAAGTCTAGGGAGGAAATGAACTTTGCCCTCAATTAGGTAACCATACTGAAGAACAACTGTATGAAAATCCTGTTTAAAAAAAAAAAAAACCACGTTCTCTCCTCCCCCCTTCAAAGTGATTATTTAATTTCTACATCATCAAAACAGAAAACAGTTACTGTTTCTGGACAGAGCTTCAGAGTGAGCAGCACACGAAGTGGGAGCTGCTCCCAGCCAGGGATGCCTCTTTATTCTTCACACAAACACTGCTTTACTGTGGGCTATTATCCAGTTATCATATTCCCCCTTTATTTAGATTATTCAACTAGTCTAGAAAAAGCTTGTGACAGAAAAATCATCTTTTTATTTATTATTTCAACTAACTTACCTGAACCTTCATACATACAACAATTAAGTTTTTACATTTAAAATATTTTAAGAATTTAAGTTTCAAAAGACCAACTATAAACTTTAACCATCTGATGCCAGAGCACACTGTCATGGTTTCAGAGTAGTCGCTAATGACAGACACCACCTAGCATTGCCAGAGATTTGCTTTAAAGTTAGAAAACAAGTGTGTAAAGCAGCCAAGTCCTTTATAAACAAACTTACATGGAATATGCTTACTTAAGATGAATTTTAAGGATAAGATACACACTCAGTGTTATAACTAAACACACACTTGAAAACACAGGAAAGGGTCACTTCACACATTCCCACATCTTAGCTACCTACGTGACAAAAGTGGCTGAGGATACGTTAGCATCAAGCATTTTAAACAAATTTACAAGATCAGCTTTCATAAAAATAAATCCATATTTTAAGATAAAAGTTATCTAAAAGCATTATTCTTTAATTATTTGTTGTTATGTAAGTTATCATTGAGGCGCCTACCTCAAGGATACCTGCTATATATATCCTTGTGCCAATGTGGTTTCAGAATTTTGAAAATAAAAACCATTTCATCTAGTATAAAAAAACAAGAAGCCTTTAGAGGTTAACGAGAGGACTATAAGGGAAGCACCCTAAATTCCTATCACAGCAGTAACCTCTATGACGACCAGACTACTTCACGACCTCCACAGTTGTTAGGTCCAGAGGTTGGTGCTGCTCTAGGTGGTACAGGATTATCTATCACCAGGAAGCTGACACCCAAACAACAGACAGGAGGAGGAGGAGTGTTGGGGGAGCAAATTCTCTAAAAGCTTCAGTGTTTTGTTTTTATTTTTTTTAAAAAGCATATCTCATCAACAAATAGCAGACATGAGGTTGTTCCAAGTATATAGGAAACAAAAGTCCCCAAAGCTGGCGATGCGGGTCTCCATCTCTAGTGTGCTGGGAGAGCACAAAACAAATGTGCCAAGAGCAGACTACTCAGTTCCCAGGACTCTTAAACACAATTCCACGCTCACCTGTGCGGCAAGGTCAGGGTTCTGGCTTAGTGACTGCATCATGCTTCTCATGTACGGGGCAGACAGCATGTTCTGCATAAGCTGTGGGTTCTCAGTGATTTGCTGCAACAAGCTTTGCATTCCTGGTGTGTTGAACATACTAGCTAAAATTTTATTTAAAAAACAAACAAAAACCAGATTAAAACATATTATTAATATTTTAAAACAGTGTATATTGTACTTAAATTTTAGCTACTTAAAGAGGCATATGACCATTTCCTTAGCAACAGGTTCACTTTATGCAATTTGGTTGCCCATGGTCAACCATAGCCCCAAAATACGAAATGACAATGTTTACAAGTAACAGTTAAGTTTTCAAAAGCATGAGAAAATGCAGTCCCCCTACTCCATCCTGTCCTCCAGTAGACCCATGCCTAGCAAGGCTGTAACCTGGTCAGGCCCACCCTTATTTTACTTGACGACTCGCAGCCCAGGGCTCTGGCGGGGCACTGTGGAGCACCAGAGTGAAGACAACACTGAAGGAAGACAACGCCGGCACAACGCTAACTCAACTATTTAGTTCTTCACTTCCACTCTGGTTTTGAACTACTGTCCCTTTACCTGGCTTAAAACATTTTACTGTTTCCACTTATCTTTCTAATCTAGTCTAAGTTGTGTGTCTGTGATGTACCTATATTATCAAGCTTCAAGTTAGCTTTCCACATTTCAAAGTTCAAAAAATATCTTAAGAGAGATTGGCAAACTAAAGCTGACAGGACCAGTCTGGCTTTCACAACCTATTTTTTATATGGCCCACAAAGTGAATTATTTTTACATTTTTAAATGATTAAGAGGAAAACTTCTAGTGAAGACAAATATTTGCAGAACTGTGGAAGCTAATGAAATCCGTGCGCAGTGACGGTCAGCTGTCATTTTGCAGGAACACTCGTTCCACCGACTCTACTGCTGGGTGCTGTGACACTAGAAGGCAGGGGACACCTAGCGGACTGTGTCACAGCTGCTGCTTATGGCTTTGCAATGTGCCACAAGAAACCTCTCCAGCATCCTGCTTTTCTTAATTACAAGAAGTAAAATAAGCTGTTAATATCACCGGTTTGAGGCACAGTAGAGTACGGATTACTTTACCAAATGAAATGGCTGTTCCATATCAAAGACTACAACACACACAGACATTATCAGACAAACACACCATAATATTCCAGTCAAGCACGAAAACACTCAGAGGCCAATGAAGACTGGAACGTTCTAAGCTGGTCTGTGATATATAATGAGACCCAGTCTCACAAAAATGAAACAGCAGGATTGAGAAGATGGCTCAGCAGTTAGGAGTTGGACCCTATTTCAGAGGACCCAGGCTCAAGTCCCAGGACAGCTCACAACCATCCACAATTTCAGTGCTAGATGCAAAGCCCTCTTCTGCCCCCCTGAGACATTGCATGCACATGGTACGGACATATATGCAGGTAAAACACCCATACACATAAATTAATCTTTAAAAAAAGATATTTAAAAACAAAACAGCCCTACCTCAAACCAACATCCTGTATTCACAGGAGAACAGAGACCAGAAAAATAACAAAATGAACATGAAGTGTCTCAGCAGAACTACAGTTCTTCAAACATGCTGTAACCAGTTACATTTTCAGAGGCATGTCAGGAAAGGACGGTCATGTACCAGCAGTAACTAATTCACAGTTAATTATATCTAAATTGTATAGGCGCATGTGTTTGAAGAAAGTAAACACAACCTTTTGGGTTGTTTTTCCCAGAATTAAGAACAGTAGACCCAACACCAATATTAAGTTAACATACAGGGGCAATGATTCTGAGTAATATTTTCTTGGCTCTTAAAGGTCAAGACATTACTTATAGTGCCCTGTCTTAGGTAATTTAGGGAATCACAAACTTTGAACTAAGAAAGAAATTTAACTCCTGAGCTAAATATGGCTCACTGGTTAAGAGCATTTGTGGCTCTTGGCAGATATCTCAGGTTCAATCCCTAGCACCCACATGAAGACTCACAACCATCTGTATGTAACCCTAGGTCCTGGGAACCCAATGGGCATGGACACAGTGCACAACTTCCATATATATAAAGTAAAATCTTAAAAACACAAACTTCTCGGTCTTTTATGAACTGCTCATGGAAGACTATTTTTTTAAACACATCAAGTAGAATCTAGTGTTTGAGGCCAGCCTGTGCTGCACTTAGTACTTCTTAAAAACAAACAAAACAGCAAAGTGAGAAAACACTACCTCACTGAGACCTAAAGCAGAATCTGCTCAAGTAAGATATATCTGACATTGCTAAAAGGGTTTGGTCAGGCCAATCCAGAGGTCTTATAAAAGTGTATTTAAGGCCTGGCTTATTCACTATAGGCAAGTCCTGAGAAACTATTAGATTCCTGCTGCTGAACAGTAGACATCAATGATGACCATCATCACTCCTACAAAACTCGTCAGCTCAAGTCTACCTTGTCAGAAACAGCTCAGTATCCTTATGCGCCAAAGCATGGTATCTTGGCAGAAGTACAGCAATATTTTATTAGCTCATGGATGAGATTCATCTTTTTCTAAATGAAAAAGTCAATGTCATGAAACCCTTAATATTTTTAGAAATCAGCTTTTCCCAGAAACTGCAGTTTCTCCATGGACTCAGCATGCTAACTCACTCTCACCGTAACGAACTAATTTGTTGTTGTTTTGAGACAGGGTTTCTCTGTGTATCCCTGACTGTCCTAAACTAGCTCTGGAAGACAGGCTGGTCTCGAACAAAAAACCTCAAACCATTTGGTAGGTCCATCCAAAAATAAGCCAAGTAGAGAGTCAAAAAAGTTCAACATCCTCTGGCATCAGGGAAATGCAAATGGAAACTGCTTTGCACTCCAGCTAAAAGCTTAAAAAAAACACTAGCGAGGAAGGATAGGGAGGGGAAGAGGAGACCTCAGTCACTGCACATGGGATAAACTTGTGCAGCCTGTGGAAATCAGAGTGGAGGATCCTAAAAAACTGAAAAGAGAACCACCACATGACCCAGCTACACATTTTTTGGTACAGATCTGAAGGACTCTTAAGAAACATATTATGCTACAACAGCCAGGCTAAAGAGCCAGTCTAAATGTCTACCGACAGACAGACATAGAATATGTGAAATATATATGCAATGCAAGTTTATGCGACTGTAAAGAAAACTACAACCTTCAGGAATATGTATGGGAGCCACTAGAAACCCTTATGCTACGTGAAACAAGGCAGACATAGATATACTTTCTCTCACACAGAGAACTAGATATATATGGCTGTTTAACCCATGGGACTAGAAAGGAGATCAAACCGAGGTGGGAGTATAGCTGAATACACACAATAAAAAAGGCACAAGTTGGGATTAACTGGGAAGATGGACATGGGGAGGACAGAAGGAAGAGAACAAGTAATAACTCGCATAATAACTCACAGGCACAAAGCTGCCACTGTGGGACCCAATGCTTTTTATTTACTTTTATTTCATTTGTATTTTGCCTGCAATTATGTTTGTGTGAGAATGTCAGATCTTGGAGTTAGAGACAATTATTAGCTGCCATGTGGGTGCTAGGAATATGAACCCAGGTCTTCTGGAAGATCAGTCAGTGTTCTTAACCACTGAGCCATCCCTCCAGTCCTTTTTTTGGTTTTTAGAGACAGGGTTTCTCTGTGTAGCCCTGGCTGTAATGGAACTAATAGAGATCCACCTACCTCTGTCTCCCAAGTGCTGGGATTAATGCCTGGCAACCCAGTGTTTTCTATGTTAATCTAAAAATAATAGAGTCTCCCCACCTCAGTCTCTCAAGTACTGCCCTGAGCCTGGCTGCAAAACCCTGCTAGTAAACCCATCTGGCAGTTGCTCTACTTCAGCGCAGATGAACCTGGCCTTTGGACAGATATTTGAGAATCCACAGGTATTGATCACAAGACCAACAAAAAAAATTTCTCTTGACACTATCTCATTAGGATGTGTGATACAAAACTGCTTTAGAAATCTTCAGTAACACTCCTACTGACAATGCACAATTAACCATCATGTATGTAAAGTTTCCTAAGAAAAAAACCAAAATCTTTGACATAACAATGGGAATGAACTCAGGAAGGAAGCATCTACTTAAAAGATTCACAAATGCCAGGTGGTGGTGGCGCACACACCCAGCACTCAGGAGGCAAAGACAGGCGGATCTCTATGAGATTGAAGACAGCCAGGACTGTTACACAGAAAAACTATGTCTTGAAACAAACAAAAAAAGATTCACAAACAAAAGCAAACCAGAGACCTGAACACCTCAATCCCCAGATTCCAGCCTTCACAAAACATGACTGGTCTGAAAACCAGACACAAACACCAACCGTACCGAAAACCAGACACATACACCAACTGTACTGAAAACTTGGTTCAAAAAGCATAGAGCAAAAGGATCCCACCAAGAGCAATTACCTAAGGGTATAAAAGTAAAGACCAATCTTTTCAGAGTAATAGGGACATAACCTTATCTCCAACTATGTCAACATTGGAGCCTTGGTTCACACACATCATCCACACACTCATTTCAACTCAGCAGACATCACAGAGTTCAAAAGTCCATTCCAGTTTCTGCTAAGAACCTACACATAGTGCTTTCACCTTATCTGGGAATCTCAACTTTGTTTTCCAAGTTCCATGCCTAATTTTTATAGCTCTACATCTCTACAAAGAATAGAAAAACTAGGCTTGAAAAAAAAAAGACCACGTGGTAATGAAGTCTTCTACCTCTAGAAGAAAATACTTTCCAGCAAAACAAATCAGAGACATACACAGTACAAATGGATTTCAAACTGAGTGCAAACTGACACAGAAGAACCACACACCGTATGGCAGTCTATTTCTATGAACTGAAGATTGCTTGCTGACAGCCTCAGAGAAAGGATGGATGAAGCATGGAAATGTTTGAGTTAGTGTGACATCTACACCTGCACTTTCCATGCTATATCTAGTATCTAACAACAACAGTATAATCACGGTAATAATGAGGGCAATTTGTTTTACTTCTTCATCAGAAAGTGGTATGTGCCTTATTTTACTATTTTGTTAGTCACTCAGCCATTATTTCATGTCCTGGGTTACTCAAATGACTTCAGAATCAAGTTCTTTTCATTAACCCCCCACTATATTAGTACTTTCACCTAACTGACATAAGACAATTCACAAGAGGAAATGAGTGTGGCTCATGGTCTTGAAGATACCAGTCCACAACAGTGTGGAAATTGCGGCAAAGCATGACACAGTTTATACCATGGCAGCCAAGAAGCAGAGAAGGGGCATCCTAGGATTCACTTCTAGTAACCTACCCATCTCCTAAAGATTCTAATACCTTCCAAAATAGTGTCAGCAGTTGAGGCTTTAACACATGAACCTGTGAGGGGCATTTCATTCCTAACCATAGTACCCAATATATGTTCTTTGAATAGTAGCCAGGATAACTTCATTATCAACCTAAAATCTTAGTCCTCTGTTTAAAATTTTCCCAGGAACAAGATCTGGAGATCTCTTGGGTGACCACATATTAATCATTTCACAATAAACACACAAGTCTGAGCAGCGATTAAGAGAGAGAGCACACTGCTCCTGTAGAGAACCTGGGTTTAAGTTCCAGCACCCACACGATGGCTTGCAACCACCTGTCACTCGAGCTCTAGAGGACCCAACACCCTTTTCTGATAATTACTTAAGACAAATGTTATACCCCACAGGTATCTACAATGTAAAAATTCTATCCCTCAAACAATCCCAAAGCTTGCAACCCAGAGTCCCCACAAAGGGATGCGCACGAAGGTAGACAGTAGACCAACAGTTTGATTATCAATGTAAGGCACACATACCTCCTGCTCCAGGCACCAAGCCTGGCCCCGAGGTGCTCTGCCCAGTAGGGGTACTGGTAGCACCCCCAGCAGAGCCGCTCACAGCACTAGTGGTGCTACCAGAGGCTGGTGAACTCTGGGAAGTCTGCGGAGCCCATGGGTTAGGCAGAGGATCCCTATTTTCGGTTCGAGAAGGCTGACTCCCTTCACCTGAGGAATTATTGCTCACTAAGGAAGCAAATGGATTACCACCAAACTGAAAGAAAAGAAAGAACAGTAACAGCCATGGAGCTATTTTCAACAAAGCAGTGTCTATAAAGTGGCACCCTCAATCACAGACTATTTGTGCTAGACAGGAACAACTCTTAGGCCCGAGCCTTGGAAGAAACAGATTACCTGCTCTTGCGCAGCATTCAGCATAGGCTCCTGAATATCTGTATACATGCGTCGTAAAGCATTGTAGCCCCCAGGAATACTTTCTAGGTTGCTCAAGGCTCGGTCCTGGTTTCTCATCATTTCCTGCATCATTGCTGGATTTCTGGCAAGTTCCAACGTCTAAGAAAGAAATCTCTGTTTTAGAAAAGGCAATGAAATAGCAAGGAATTCCTTCAGTATTTAAAACTAGCTAAAGTTTATAAGAAGATCCCACCAGGCGCCAGGAAAGAAAGATGTGAGGTAACAAGCCACAAGCCCATGAGCTTTGTGATAAAATATAAGATAATAGAAATGTGTTAATTTAAGATGTAAGAGTTAGCTAGGATTACACCCGAGCCATCGGCCGGCCAAGCAGTGTTACAATTAATATAAGTTTCTGTGTGATTACTTGGGACTGGGCAGCCAGGAAATGAAAGCACAATCTCCAGTTACAAGGTTTTGTTGACTTCCCTTAAACAATGGTTGGAATTCTCTTTAACTTTGCAGTATATATATAAGGCAATCTCTAGAACCACAGAAAGTAACATATAAACACACACACACACACAGAGATTTTTTTTTTTTTTAGTTAAGAGAGAGAAATATTTCTCTACATACTTGTCTCATTATATCCGGATTATTAAGCATATGACTAATCTCTGGATTTCTCTGTATCAACTGCTGCATCTGTGGATTGGCCATAATCAACTGCCGCATCAGGTCAGGGTTTGAGAGCATGCTCTGGACGAAGGGATTTTCCATGATCTGGACCATCATTTCAGGGTTGGACAAAAGCTGGCGTTGCATTTGGCTCTGTAGTTCAGAGAAGTTGGTGGTATTTAAACCCAAGCTACTCAGACCTGCAAGTCCTCCAAGTCCACCTTAGAGGAAAAGAGGGGAAAACAAAAATGAAAATCAGAAGCTTGTGCTAAAACATGAAGAATTATTAACTCATTAATGTATAAGAAACCTTTTAAAATAACTTCTCTCACTCATTTTTATGATATTAGGTTATACTTACTAGTATACTATTCAGCTTTAATTCCTATGCTATGGCTTAGATATGAAGTGTTGCCCCAAAGCCTTGGTCCTCAGCTGGTGACACTGATGAAGGTGACTGTGGTGCTAATGAGTCCGTAGCTCAATGAACTGTGCGGAGCAGTACATTTGAAGGGACCTCCTGCTGCTACGGATAGAGGACTTCTATATCTGTTATAAAGACACACTTGTACTCCACATTGGAGAGAGCAATCTGCAGAACACTTGGTAACAACACAAGCACACACTGCTAACAGTCTGTCCCAAGCTAACTTTACCCACCGCAGACCAGACGCCTTAGTTAATACAGCACTGATAGCAAGCAGACACTAATTATTCTCAGAATTTCAGGAACTGTCTGAACCCAGGAGACACAGACACTCCCAGCCTGAGCTCTCCCACCCCATATCCTCTGCTGATGAAGACAGGCTGCGGCCTCCTCAGATTACCAGCTCTGAAATAAAGCACAACTTAGACTCAATCTGCCTCTTTTCATTCACCTTTGTGGTGACAGGCAGCAGCCCGGGGCTGTGGCTACACTGCGAGGGAAGCAATGCTCTGCTGCACCCCCTGCCACACCACAGGCCTTAATGCAGCAGCAGTCCATCAGCTGAAACTATGTGCAAAAATCTCCCCTCAGCTAAACTGCTTCTTTCCGGTTGTTTATCACAGTGGGTCCCTACTCCCCCACCCCAAATACAACCTACAATCAAAATTAGCCAGATTTTCAACTTTGATATTTAGCAGAACTAACTAGGCATATTTTTTAACTTATCTATTTGTCCCTTCTTGATCCCTCACAGGGTTCCTAAAAGCCTAGGCATTTTGAGTGCCTTTTGTTTTATATCAGTCCCTGTAATTGCTCCACTGAGCTGAAAAGACCCCTGGATAATCCCAGGATGATGGAGTAGTCATCAGGAAATCTAATGGATTACGGTGGAACTTCCAGCCCTACCAACCAGACACAGAAGGAGAAAAGTTTCTATTTATTGGTTATTAGTATTGTGCGTTTGTTATACAGCAATCTATGCCACATTCTAAAACTTGTGTATCATATACTGGCACACTATAATCGAGTTACCCAAAAATTCGCAAGAAAAGGGCAAAAAGGTGTATGATCCCTAATATCCTAATATATGAAAATGGTACCTAAGGAAAACTTCAAAGCACTATACTAGCTATAGCCTTTGGGGCTGATACTGACATTTAAGCAATTCTTCTATTTAGTCCAACTTTTATTACTTTCAGAACATTTTCCCTCAACAAAATCTCAACATGGGCAACTGAATAAAGAATAGCAGTGTGGGGCTAGAGAAGCCCAGTGTGTAGTGCTTGTATAGCAGGCAGGAGAGGAAGACAAACGGGGGAGGTGACAGGGAAGGGAGGCAGAAGGAAAGGAATATGGTTTGGGCTGAAGTAATAGATTATTATTTTTTATTTTATGTGTGAGTGTTTTGCCTGCATGTATGTACATGCACCAATGCATGCCTAGTGTCCACAGGGGTCAAGAGAGGGTATCAGATCCTCTAGAACTGGAGTTAAGGATGGGTGTGAGCCACGGTGTGGGCTCTAAGAACTGAACCTGGGTCCTCTGCCAAGAGCAAACAGTGAGCTCTCTCTTAAACTACTGAGCTATCTCTCCAGCCCCAGGACAGTTTCAAAGTAACGAATGCAGTTACAGAGTGATTTTGTATGCCAATAATCTCCACCCCAGGAAAACCCATGGAAAGAGCAGAGTTCAAGGCTAACTCAGCTACATTTACAAAACCTTCTCAAACAAAACACAAGACAAAAAGATAACATATAACTAGTGTAATCCACCCAATACCTTTCCTGTACAAATGAAAACATTATTCACTTGACCATAGTTTATCATCCTTAACTATATCCTCATATGCAATTGTGTGGTAGTCAGATTACTAGGTATGCCTAGGCTACATCGCTTTCATTACAAAACAGGTGTGTCATTTACTAAATATAAATGTAAGCTAATCAAACATATTTGTATCCCAAGCTACTTTCTTAACACAATTATAGAACTTACTATAAAAATTTTTAAAAAATTTTTTAAAGTGACTTATGTTTTATCCTGTCATTTTATCTAAAGCTACCCTTGGAAGAGAACTTTTTACCCCTCATCCCTACTTAAAAAACAAAAAGCAAACAAACAAAATAACCCCAGCAAAACAACACTTACCTAAGCCAAAAGGGTTGTTAGCAGCAGGACCAGATGTGGGATTATTGTTAGGAGATGATGAGTTGGTAGCATTGCTTCCAGTGGTGTTTGTTTGCTGAGCTGAAGGATCTTGTGGCCTAGTGAAAATAATTAAATCAAAATGCAGAATGCAGAACTCATTGTTTTTAAAAGAAATTCTAAAATTCCAATAGCCAGAAACAAAGGGCAAGTTCTCATAAACAGAACTGTTATCAACACCCTGCCTGAAACAATGACTGAGCATTAGGAACAAATAACGCAACAGTAACTTTATAAAATGACTATTGTCTCTCCTCTCTCAATCACAGTGACACTGTGAGAAAGAGCCAACAAGTCACCTCATAGAAGACAATCACAATCACTAACATCCACAAGCTCAATACTTAACCCATTTTCTAGTCCACAGGGCTAGGGGCACTTTAACTCAGTCCATGACACCATTAAAAGAAGAAGAAAAAAAAAAACTTAAGCCACTTTAAGGGACTGGAGCATTTGCTGTTCTTCTAGAGGACAGAGTTCAGTTCCCAGCACTGACGTCAGGTGACTCCAGAGGGTCTGATGAGTTCAAAGGCAGGCACTCATGTGTGCACACAGACAAGCACACTAGTGTAAAAATAAAACAAAATTGCAAGAAGATGGCGCTTAGGATGGTCAGGTGACAAGGGAGGGAGTCTGTGAAGGGCTAGTTCTGATATCATTCAGGCAAGAGTTGAGATCCTGTCCTATGCCTCCCTTTGGCTGTCAGGCTACCGACACAATGGTCCAAGGAGCTGGAGTTCTGGAGTACAGGGAGAACCTGGCTCCTGGAATGTAATTTTATCAGAGTTTGATAACTGGATAGAATATCTTGTAGGAGAGACAGAAGCCAAGACAAGAGGACCTCACTTTTACCCTGACTGTTTAGGTATGTCTACCTCTCATCCTCTATTTAATCCTAACCTTTCGTCAGGACCCTGAGAAGTGGGTGGGGAGGCCGTCAGTGGATTTCCCTCTCCCACTGTCAGCACTACTTGTCTGTCTAACTGGACTACTAAGGATGAGAGATGGAACCAGCTTGTTGAGAGGCCAGGCTCAGCATCTGACACTAACAATCCAGCTGTCATCATTGCTTAGCACTTCCAAGAAGAGCAGGACTACTAGAGAAGCCTCCCACCTGACGCCAGGTAAGACTGGGTCTCACCACTTCATTTGTTGATTCAAAGGTCTATTTCCACTTCAGCATCTCAGAAATCATAATCTGCCTTATACTTGCTTGGCAAACCGGCATTCATCACCACGTATGCCTTTGTGTGCTCTGTGTACCACAGTTACCTGCATGTGTCCTCAATAAAGCTGCATCATGGTCATGTGAGAAGTTATCAAGGACACAGAAAAGAACAGGAAGAACTATTTCCTTATCAGTTCTCTGGGGAACAGCAGCATAAAAGCCTGCCTAAGTTCCTAGAGCAAATGTAAGCGCTTGAAAAACATGCTTCACTATAGTGCTTTAAACTGCAGTCTGTAGCAATGGGAGAGTCAGAAGACAGTGAGGCACACCTACAGTCCCAGCATCCAGGAGTGAGTTCATGTTCAGCCTAGATTGACTGATACCTGTTTCAGGAGGAAAGCTAGTTATGCGCTTTCAGGACTCAAGGACGCCAAGGCCACAGGACAACAGACTCAAGCACAGCTAGTCATGGCTAGCCTCAAAGTTATTAAATGTGAAAAATGTCTTAGGAGGCTTTATACATTTACTCGACAACATTATCTTGGGTATTTGTATAGCAGAATACAAATTTTTAGGTAATAAAACTCCATATTCAAGTAAGTCTGATGAAGCAAATGATGAAACAAAAATTTACAAGATATTCAGAGTGACAATAATATAAAAATAATAGTTTCTCTCAAAAATTGATCACACAATAAATAAATTACAAGTGGTCTATAGTCTGCTATCACCAAAATCATGTCTAAAATTTTCCTTAAAGCAAAGAGAACAGCTAAAAAACAAATTGTTGCTTAACTCAAAAAATTTCCACATAATGCCAGCTGAATTTTCTAAAGTAATAAATGAGGGGCTGCCCTGAATTTGTACCCCAACCCTCTCCATAAAAACGTTTATCAGCCAGGCGGTGATGGAGTACATGCCTTTAATCCCAGCACTCTGGAGGCAGAGGCAGACTGAGTTCAAGGCCAGCCTGGTCTGCAGAGCTAGTTCCAGGACAGGCTCCAAAGCTACAGAGAACACTGTCTGTTCTGTAGGAAACAAAAGTTTCCCTAACGAACATGCCAGAAGTAGTACTGCATGGAGTCACACTGCTGTTTTCACCTAAACATTCTGTTATCAACAGAAACAACAACAACAACAACAAAAAAACCACTTTAACCAGTTAAACACTATGATAAGGAAAATCCCCTAAAGCTGATACTGGCTATTTAAGAAGACATACCTGTTCTGTGTTTTGATGACAAGGTGAACAGTAAGTCCATCGTGAATTCCATGCTGGCTCAAGGTATCTTGATCTTTTAAAATTTTTCCAGCAAATATCAACACAAGTTGGTCAGTATGAGATTTGAAACGTTTAGAGATTTCTTCTTTGAACTGAGTGAGATAAAATAACATATACATTTTTAATACCAGGTGTTTGCACAGCACCATCCCAACTGGAGAGGCCCCAGCACTCTGACATCACAAACACCCCATCTCCATCTTAGTATCCAACACCCATCTCTAACATAAAGGACTTACTCCAGGTGTGTTAGAGACGTGGTCAATGCACCCTAAGATGGAGGCATGGTGTTTTCTTCATAGGCTAACAGGACCAAATTTAGCTGAGGATCACAAGTTCTTGCTAAACTTATCCTGTTTCCTGGACCTCCACCTCCAGTCCCCTTTTTAGTTTCAATACACACAGCGCCCAGCTCATACTCTCCCCGTCACTGTTACTGACTATCCTAACCACATCTTCCATTCACACTTATTAACAAGCAAGCAGTTCCACAGAAAGGCAAAGACTAAATAGTAAAATATTTTTGGGAGAGAATCAAACTATAAACAGAGAAAGCACAAAGAACAGTTGACAAATGCTTTCCAGAACAGAAAAGCAAAAAAAGGATTAGAAAGAAATCAGAAGAGCAGAGAACTGCTTGCTAGAGAACATAAGAGTCTGAAGACGCAGGTAAAGAAGGTACTACAGAGAAAAGCTTACTCACACTGAAGTCTCTAGTGAGATAACCAGAGTACACAAGCTTTTCTTCAAACCAGAAAGCCGCAGAGGCTGGGAATTCACTAACAGACTACCCAGAGCAGCACAGTTCAAGTCTACAGAAGAAATACTGCTCCGAACTCCCACTGCATGGTAGTAGGTTTCAATCCAGCACTACTACAGAGAGGATGATTTGCCACAAGTCCATGAATCCACAGAGAAGGGCTGAGCGTCCTGTATCTGAAAGGCTTCTGGAAGCAGCTAGGTCATCTCTATTATCAGTAAGGACCTACTCCAAAATATTCCAAATCTTTAAAACTGTTCCAAAATAACCTAAGATTCTGAGTGCCCCATTGTCACTAAAAGGTCTCTGATTTCAGACCACTTCAGACAGGAAAGTTCAACCACCTGTGACCCGAGGCTTAGAAGAAGCTCCAGGATCAGGGAATGTAAGTCAGGGCTACAGACAAATCACACGGCCACATGCTATCAACCAGAGAAGCATAAAAATTCACAGTACTCTACACCTTCTTGTATAGATGACACTCCCCAACCCACGTCCTAACACTGTATGTGACTGTAGTGTTCTGTTTGGTTGGTTTGGTTCTGAGACAGGACATGTCACTCTGGAGTAGAAGGTGACTCAAACTACCAGCCACCTTCCCAGCCACCCTCCCTGCCACCCTCCCAGCCCGGCCTCCCAAGTCTTGGCATCAAGGCTTCAGGACTTCACCCAACAGCCTGGATTTTACAACCTACCTTCTCAACTCATGCACACAACCAAACTTCTTAAAAAGGCCAAGAAATCATGAAGATGCACAAACTGTACCACAGTAAATACTGTGGAACTCCCTCATCAGAACCCCCCCCATTTGAAACTAAATGATATATAATCTCTTTTGTCGTTGTTGGTTTTTTGAGACAAGGTCTCTCTACATAGTCCAAGCTGCTCTAGAACTCATATTATGTAGGTAGACCAGGCTAGCCTCAATCTCACATTAATCTGACAGCCTCTGCAGGCAATTAAAGGTGTGCGCCACCACACCTGGCTACGTGATATATAATCTTTTCAACTAAGCAATTTCCAACTGACTTAAAAAACAAAACAAAGAAACAACAACAAAAAAGCCGGGCGGTGGTGGCACACGCCTTTAGTCCCAGCACTTGGAAGGCAGAGGCAGGGGAATCTCTGTGAGTTTGAGGCCAGCCTGGTCTACAAAGGGAATTCCAAGACAATTAATGCTACACAGTTAGACTCTGTCTCCAAGCACATATATCTGACATACCTACCATGTAATTTGACCACTTAAGTATATAATTCAAAGACTTTGAGTATATTCAGAAACAGACTGCAATGATGACAAGAGTCAATTTCAGAACACCCTCATTATGCCCCAAAGAAATCTGGACCCTTCAAGCTATCACTTCCCCATAAACTCATCAGTTCCAAGGCCATTTCCCAAAAAGCCCTAATTTACTTTCTGTACATTTTACTCTTTATAAGCTTGCGATCATTCAATCCCATACATAACCTACTCAACCATATAGTAGGTGGTCCTTGGTATTGACATCTTACACTTGATACTGTATTTTAAAGATATTGCACACCAAGGCTCCCAGAAAGAAAAGCACAACTATACTTACTAATTATAGACATTGAGACTATTGCAGATAATAATTAATTATTTTGAGGTTTTAGACTCTTTGAAAGCTATTCACTGCCCACTTTTGTTTCTGACCCAATGCCATCGAATCAAAAATCTTTAAAATGTATTAATAAGCCACTAGCTCATCCAGTCCAAAAACTAAGAAACCATTATACAGCATCTGAAACCTATAGCAATTTCCTCTTTGCTGTATCCACCTACCTCTGATCTCCACCAATGCATCTGACAGAAATACTGTCATCAGAGATGAAACCTCTTGTAACTACCTTAACAGCAGAACACACCTTTCAAGCTACCTCCCTGTAACGTCCCTGTGTTATTGTCAACTCACATTTGGTACAAGAATAAACTCACTCCCTTGGAAGTGACATGTGTGCTTTGCACCAACAATTTATTCATGGAGCATATGTCTGTACTTCATTCATCTCTATAGTCAAGGCTGGAAAGGCATTTTAACAGCATTACCTCGCAACAAAACTGAGCAAACTAAGAATTAAAAAAAATAAATAAATCTTAGACCAGACAGGAGACCCACAAAATAATGGCAAGCACATACTTAACTACAAACCAATGGATGGTTCCCTATAAAGTCAGCAACAAAGTGGAGTGTGTCAACTGGGGGCACCTGGTCTTCAGAGTCCCTGCTGGAGCAAGAGTTGGAAGGAGGGAAAGAAGGAAATGAGCAGGGAGCTCTTATCTGTCCCCCGCCATTTAAAAGCACAACTGGATGCAATTTAAATACATCTTTCAAGAAATTAGAAGATGAGCCAAGCAGTGGTGGCACAAGCCTTTAGTTCTAGCACTCAGGAGGCAGAGGCATGTGGATCTCTTGAGTTGTGAATTTGAGGCCAGCCTGCTTTATAGAGCAAGTTCCAGGACAGACAGAGAAACCCTGTCTGTTGGTGGTGGTGGTGGGGGAGTGAAGAAAGAGAAGAAAATAGAAGATGAACAACAGACAAGGTAAAAATATTTGCAAAAGGCATATTTTGATAAAGTTATTTATTGCCTAAATATACAAAGAGCTCACAAAACTTGACAATAACCTACTTTTAAAATGGTTTGTCAAAACAGGAACTTCAGAGATCTACAGATGACAAGTCAGCATGAAAAATGCTCCCCACCACACCTGGATGATCTAAAACCAAAGAGAGAAGCAATAGATATGCACTAAAACAGTCAAAATTCAGAATACCAACACTACCAAAAGATGGCAAGGATAGGGAGCAGCAGAAGAGTCAAGGTGGGAATGCAGAGAGAAGAGCCACCGCAGAAGATGGCCTAGCTGTTTCTCAGGAAACCAAACACACAGTATGAAGTTCTTTCTATTTACCCCAAAGAACCGAAAGCTATTTACACTAAAACCTTCATGTAGATCTACAAAGGCTTCACTCATAATTGCCAAATTTGGAACCAAGATGACTCTTCAGTAGATAAACTGTGGTGCATTCAGATGATACAATAATCAGCAGTAAAAGAAGTGAGTTCTTGGGTCATGAAATGTATGTAAATGGATGTTACAAAGCAAAAAGCCGGCAAAGGCGCCTACTATCTGACTCTGGCTCCCTGACCAAGCCCAGGACCCATCCATCACCTAGGTTCCAACTACTTGAACTGAATTATAAACTGTTTTTTCAAAGAACAGAGAACTAGCGACCTAGAGTTTTATATTCACTAAAAATTCCTCAAAATTAAACTGAAATGTAAAAGCAAACAGAACAGCCCACAGGATCTTTGTCGCACTCCCAGAAACAAAGAATGGGACACCTAGCAGGAAATGTAACCTGTTTTTTCAGGCACAAGAAAAGGACCCTGGGTGAAGGAACAAAAATGAAAAACTGTACAGACAACTCTTAAAGTCAAATTTACAAAGCCCTTATAAACCTTGGGTCATTCATCAAGGACCAAGAGAAGGAACAGGAAATCCAGGGTACACAGAGTTCAAGAGTTCTAGGATCTGTGCATTATTCTAGAAGTAGCAAGTACTTCCTGATTTGAACAATTTATAAAATTCATGGTGAAATCTACAAAGGACATAAAAACAATGTACATTTATCAACCCAATGGAGGAGGCAAATGGAATACTTCAAAATACTTCATCCGAAAAGGGAAAGAGGAAAAAAAAGGAAGTGCACAGAACAGGCAGGATAAATGAAAACCAAATGTACCTGGGACCACACAGTGGACTGTGTATGAAGATTGACCACCAGACTGCATTTTAAAATCCAGTTTCTTCATACTGCCAAAGAGACTTTTAGGGCTGAGGATACAGTTCATCAGTTGGCAGAGCACTTGCCTAGCACACAGGTGGTCCTGGATGGATCCTCAGCATTACCCAGTGGGGTTTGGAGGGAACGGGATGGTAACATGGACATGTTCAGCAGATGTGGGACACACCCTTTATGCTCAGCACTTGAGAGGTAGAGGTGGACAGATCTCTCTAAGATGGTGGCTAGTCTGGTCTTAGAAAAACTCTGTCTCAAAAACAATACAAGTGACCTACCCACTTCCACAATAAGCATCTTTTGAAGAAGCACATTTAACAAAATAGGCCTGACACCAGGTCACATTTTATTGAAACATTTCAAGAATTGAAATCTTATGACATATGTACTTCAATGACATTCAATTAAACACTACAAGAAAGATAATGCCTCCTGAATGGAACAAAAAGATTTAACCAGCTCTCTCTCTCTCTCTCTCTCTCTCTCTCTCTCTCACACACACACACA